AAAGTAGAGCTCCTTGAAGTCCAAAAGAGGATCTTTCTGGGTGGATTGTGCTGCTGAGTTATGGATCCCACACTCTTATCTCTTCATTGCTGATCAGATGATAGGCTTGTGGCTTGCATACCTCAGGAGCTCCATTAACCCCTGTGGTTTGATCTTTCTTTGGATTGAAGGGAGCTCTGCAGTTGCTGGACCCCACCACCTTTCATCTGATCTGATCTTATCTGATCTATTATATATTTCTGATCTGCTTCTCTATGTGGGTTAAAAGATCTGATCATGAATTATCAAATCTTATTCTTACTATGAAGTTATTTTTCATATTATCCTTAACGTCGTTTGTCGTTTGATCGCATCTCAAGTGCTCTCCAAATTTGTTTGGTATGATCGTTTATAGGGATTTGTTTTTTCTGCGTTTAATTCTTTATTGTGAATGAGATCTGGGATAGTAAAATTTGCAGGCTGATTTTGACCTAATTAGAGATTTTTTATTAACTTGTAATAATGCTCTTTGCATTACGAAAGGAATTTTGAGCTCTATCGTTGTTTATTGATAATGTTGCTCTGACTGCTATATATCCTGATCATCCATCTAGAAAGTATTTCACGTTTAGTATTACGTCATTTACAAATTTTTCAAGCTTGATGTATTATGATGTCTGAATTATGTACTATAGGTACGGGAAGTTTGAAGAACTTTTTGTGGCAGACTTTTGTTTTGAATCCGCTTATGTGAATAAAGTTCTGTATATTTTTCGTACTTTTTTTTTTATTTGCAACGTTTTATCAATTTGTGAAGTTTCAAGTAATCGTTTCGAGTTCGTTTTCGTTCATTCGAATATGGTTCAGGTTAGTAGACAGTTTTTTTTTTTAAAAAACGCTTGTAAATTAAAAATGGTTATAATTTCATGGTTTGGATGGTTCTAATTTGATGGTTCTAATTGAACCAAACGCATTAATGTAACTTTCTTTAGCGCCTAAAAATAGTGTGATCTTTTATAGTGCCGATTTTCTATTGTCTTAAGAAATTTTTTTTACACCTTTTTTGAGGCACGAGAGTATGATTTTTATAGAAATTTGAGTTTATCATACGTTTGATTTCAAAATGAAAATAAAATATTATGGGAAAAATAAGAAATCATAAGAATAATTTTTGTTTGGTAAATGAGAAACGGTTTACTTTTCACATTTTTCTTTTTTTAATTTCTAAGATTATACATAATTTAGAAATTTAATAAATGATGTACAAGTACTCGTACAGTTTTTTTTTCCTTGTAACTTATATAGAAAAGAATATAAATCTGTAAGCTGGCATCAATTTTAAATTTTTTGGTTTTTTGAACGTGAATTTATTGTCTTCTTATTCTGTTTAAAAACAAATATTTTCAACTTCCACAATTTGATCCTTAGTCCGTGAAAAGTAAAAAATGATGATTATTAGTCCGTGGTATTTTCCCTTGATTATTTGACTATAATGATGCCCTTGACTTATATACTGAGTTATTAGATCAAATGATATTTTGTTCTTGAATGAAATCAAGTAATTGGTGTATTTTGGTGTATGAGTTATATGTACTGTAGGTACCGGAATTTCGAAGATCTGTAGTGGCAGACTTCTGTTTTGAATTCACTTTCCTGAATAGAGTTCCGTCTATTTGTCTTACTGTATTTGTTATTTGCACTGTTTATCAATTTGTGAAGTTCCAAGTAATTGTGAAATAGAAACTGTAACATTCTTTGACGCCCATAAAAAATGTGATTTTTAAGGTTCCGTTTTTTCAATTGTTTGTAGAAATGATTTTCTTTCATTTAAAAAGTAAAGTGATAAGAGATTGAAAAAAAAAATCTGAGGGGAAAACAAAGAGGATGAATATTGATGAGGGAATGAAAAATTGTTCTTTTATTTTTCTTAGGTTTTTGTATATGGTCTAACTGTTGTAATAATTGTGTCCGTTATTAGGTGAACAAAGGGATTTGAGCCCTCGGTACACAAAAGCTTATTTAACAGTTTAATACGCATATTCAAAACAAACCGTTCTGAAAATTACTAGACAAGCCTTTTTAACTTTCTCAATTCGATGCTTAATTAGCCCAAGCCAGACATGCTTTCGTGAAAGGTAAGAAATCATGAATTAACAAAAAAAGAGAACAAGGATCAGATCGAATAAGAGTATAGTGGAAAGACTTTCGAGTCTTAAGGGTCTGTTTAGAGTTTTTAATTTAATTAATTTGTTTATTTGAATTTTTAATTAGAGTTGGGTTATGATTTTATGTGAGTTTTTTTATTATAGTAAAAAAATTAAATGTTATTTTTAAGAGTTTTTTATTCTAATAAAATTTGAATTTTAAATTTAAATCGGTCAAATCAATGGGTTATTTATGGATTATTTATGCACTTTTGGAAGTCACCTAGACTCGGCTTCTTATAATCAGATAGAATCTTGGGCTTCTATCATTTAGAATATTCATATTAGCTGTAAAAGAAAGGGGAATTCATGTGGTAGAGGAGGCTTTTTGCTCTACTAGGAAGAACACATTATTCAAATCTATTGGATCAAAATTGGACAGCGAAAAAAGAAACTTGTTGCTGTAAATGCATTTAAAAAAGAGTTAAAATCATTTTAGTACTTTTTGTCAATTCAAATCTTGACTAAAAGTGTGTATGTGAGGATGCCTCCACGTGATATTCCATTATTTATAACGTTTTATTCCAAATTACAAGCTCATTCAAACCTCATTTATCTTTGATATTCCATTAAATAACGTTTTATTCCAAATTACAAGCTCATTCAAACCCATTAACTTTATATAATTCCTCTCTTTATACAGTAAAACTTCTGTAAATTAATATTTGTTGGAACTAAGAGAAAATATTATTTTAGTGAGGTTATTAATTTACCGGTAATATTAATTTAATAAGTGTTTTATTTTTTAATAACTTGTGCTTTTTAGTTTTCATCAAGATTCATGTAAATAAATAAAGAATAGTGGATGTAGTAAAATAATAAGTTTACATATAGAATTTCAAAAGTTATCATGTATAATATAAAAAATAATATGAGTACATTATATATATTTGTTATTAAGCACATACATAGACAAAATAGATGAATGTAGTTTTTAAATTTAGTACCTAGAAGAAAAAAAAACTCTTTAAATATGATGATTCTTATATGTTATTTATTATTATTTTTTGTATTTGATTAATAATAAATTTATATCTTTATTGGTTGGGCCTTAAAAAGATTTGAAAACAATTATTAGCATTTAGCGAGATTATTAATTTAATACATTAGCCCAAGTTATGACCGAAATTATTTAATTGAAATTATTAATTTGTCAAACATTAGATTTTACTGTATTGTGTACTATCTCTCTATAATTATATATTTAACATATGTAACTTGTCTCTTTTTCTATTATCTCTAGTTATAAATAGAGATTTTGTTAGCTTATATGATGATCCCTCACAAGTTATAATAAGGAGTACGGTAAATTACTTTGGGTTTGGAATTAGTTTTATATTATTTTTAAAAATATTTTTACACGTCTTTTGAGACATTAAAATGAAAATAGTTTGTAAACTGTGATTATTTAGCAAATATTTTAAAAATAAAAATAAAAATAAAAAAAAGAATGATTTTTGTAAAAAAATAAAAAAATAGTTGAAAATTATTTTTTTTTATTTTTTAATATTTATCAATAATATTATAATATATTAATTAATAATTATAATTAGATACGATTTTATTTTTTTATTATATTTAAAATAATCTCTTAAAATATTAATTAAATGTAATTTCAAAATCGTATCAGAATAATTTTAAAATAATCTCATTTTTTACTTTTATACTAAAAAAATCATTTTGAAATTATTATCAAACGGGCCCTTTTCTCTCATATTTCTCCTATGTTCTCTTTTATTCTTCTTTGTTCTTATAATATTAATTTTTACGTGTTCTTTTATAACAAAGTAAAGAATTTTAGAGAACAGAGAATCACAACAAATTTTTGAAGTTGGAAAAATAATCATTAATTATGCACGCACATGACATTTTTTTGGGAGATGTTCCCGGAGATATCAAAGTAGAAGCACTCTTTTCTTTCAATATATGTATTAATTCACTAATTACAATAAAATTATTATTAAATAACATATTATATAATAATATTATTAAAATAATAGCTTAAATACTTAAAAATTACGATTATATTATTTTACATTATGATATAATATATAATCATTATTATATTGTATTAAACAAATATATTATAATTAATATATTATATAATAATCGATAATAATATTAAAATCATAAGATTATATTAATTATTATTATATTATTATTAATATAATAAATATAATTATATTAATACAATATAATTACGAGTTTAAATTTTAGATTGAAAAGATTTTAAATTTTAAATTTTATTAGAGATATTATGAGTATTATGAAAGTTTTATTAATTATATTATGTTGATTATTGCACAATCTTTAGACTCATTCTGATTTTTGCTGTAAATTTTTTAAAAAACACTTTTGATGAGATTTATCAAACACTAAAATCAGCTTACGCTACAAGCAGAAACTGATTTTAGGATAGGAAAGCAATACTAAACTAAGAAGATGTTTGGTAGAGCGATTCATTCTCAGATTCGAATTATGATTTATGGTTTGCTACAGTATTTTTTCTCACAAAAAATTCACGTAAATTAAAAATAGTTCGAATCACATAATTTGAATCCTCCAACCAAACGTCATTTAAGTCATGATCTCCTAATAAAGGGTATTTTAGTAAACTAAAATTGTTTTTTTCAAGAAAAATCAAAATAAAAATTCAAATAAAAAATCAAAATAAAAATTCTAAAGAAGTCATCCCAGCGACATCCCTATCACCGGCGACTCTCTATCTCCGGCTATATCCCTCTCTCTCTTCTTCCCCACGGGAAAATCTCTCTCCTCCGCGACTCTCCCTCCTCCATGACTCTATATCCTCGGCAACCCCCGACCACTCTCTTTCTCTCCTCCGCAACCCCCAGACCTCTCTCTTCCCACGAATCTCTCCTCCGCGAACCAGATCCATGACCTGCGAAACAAAAACATCTCTCATCTCTCAAGCTTGGCAACGTGGGAGGCGAGAGGCTCGTCGGCGGGGAGATTCGCACGGTTAGCGCCGGCGTTGAGGGGAGATTCGCTGTGCTCCGGTTCCCCTCCGACAACTTTGCGTGAGGAGCTCGGGTTTCGACAGCTTTGTGTGCATTCCGGCGACTTTGGCGCTGCAACTCGCGATCTTCGTTGGCAACAACTTGAGATCGACATGGTCGGCGTTTGTGATGGAGTTCAGCCCACATTAACAGAGAGAGATAGAGAAGGTGAGAGAGAGGTTGAGGGAGATGAAGAGATAACGGGAGAGAGATAAGCGGGGTTTTTTTAGTGTCTGACATTTTCACTTGGCTTCTTGTGATTTGCGAATGAATATTTGGAACCCATGATTCTTTAATCGAGATTTTGGACTCGTTTATATTGTGAACTAATGATTTTGCAGAATAGGATTTTGTTTTTCTCATTGTGTGTATGCATATATCAGCTTTCGTCGATGGACGTAGTTCAATAATTATTTTCACTGTGTTTTCTGATTTCAGCTGGCTGTCCAGCAAATAAAAGCATGTGCTGTGGTTTGGAGCGGCTAAAACCCATACTATCTCCGGCGCCATCTCCAAATTCTTTTGAAGAAAGTAGAGTCTCCAACATAGCAATGAATCACTTGACTGTTGAAACAGAAGATACTTTTGCCAGTTTGCTGAGCTTGCAGCTAACAATGATGTTGAGGGTTTCAAAACAGAGAGAAATAGAGAAGGTGAGAGGTGAGAGAGAGTTTGAGGGAGATGAAGAGATAACGGGAGAGAGAGAAGCAGAATTTTTTTTTTTTTGTTATGGGGGCATTTAAGTCATTTTATTGAAAAAGGAAGTCACGCGATAAGTCACTTTACGTGTTTTGTTAAAAATTTAATAAAATTTGATGAAAATGACTAAATTATCACCTTCTAAAGAAATTGATGATCGTTTTATAGAAAAAAAATATTAGTGACTAAACCGTCACTTCTTAAAAAGATTGCGGACTAATTGTGTAAATTTTTCTATAATTAAATTAGTGATAATTTATTAATTTAATATTACTATTAGGATGAGAGTTTGAATATAAAAAGACCATGAGATTACTAAAGTTCCGTTCATTTCATTGATTCGAGTTTAGAATTTAAATTTTACTACAGTAAAAAGCTTTCACAAATAATTACATCTAACTTTTTTATTATAGTAAAAAGCTCTCACATAAAATCACATCTCAACTCGAATTAAAAACTCGAATCAGTGAACTAAATAGATCCTAATTCTATTCTCTAATTTTAAATTTTAATAGGACCCACAAATCCCACACATATCCAGATAACAAGAGGTAAGACTCCTGTTTAGCATTACTTTCAAAGGCTACTTTTATCTTTTTAAAAAAGTTATAGTAGCTTCGCGTGTTTGGTAAATCCTCCTTTTGTCCAACATCTTATAAAAATTGTTGTCAAATGGCCAAATTTTGATAAGCATGTTAAGGATTACGACAACTTTTGTTGTCACTATCTAAATTTATTAAAATAATCTTAAAAATATAACTTAATTTTTAATCTATCTATTTTATTTTTTCCATGCTAAATTTTAAAAATATATTTTTAAACAGTTATTTAAAAATTGAAAATATTTAATAATATTATGCCAAATTTTACTAAAATAATTTTCATAATTATTAAAATGTTTAAAAATATGGACTTTCTCCAGTAACGCCTTTCTATCAGTGATGCTAGTTTATGATTGTTAAATCTGATCAAAATCACATCATATTAAAAAAATATGCATAATAAATAATTTTTGATATAGATTTAATAATAAAAATTAAAAAAGTACTGATAGTTCATTTCTTCTCACGAAATTCCATTAAAATTAACAACAATAACAAGAACTTTAGTAGACGAGTACTTTTTCACCATGAATAAAAGTAATTTAAAAAAATATTTTAAATAATAAAATTAAACTTATATATTTTTTGTATTGTGGTGTAAAAATAGTGAGTATTAACCTTAAAATAGAAATAAAACTAACTGTAAATATATGTGTTAAATATTTCTATTTTAATTATTATACATCTCTATAGCAATTTTATGTATAGTTTATCAAACACTTAAATTTTTGCTTCTAATATTCACAACATCCTTGACAAAAAAAAAAAAAAAAATACCACTCCTACATATTTCTAATCACAGCGACTTCTGATTAAAAACACATTTACAAAAAAAAATTTTAATAGCACAATAATATCAAACCGATCCTAAATAAATATGTGATTAATTCTCATACCCTACTCCTCATAAGTAAACATGCCAATAAGGAACAATTACATTACAAATTCTGATAACATAATGGACTTTAACTAACAAATACGTAACAAGCTCAGAAACCATAAAGGACTTGCACACAAACATTACAACTTTTACAAGGAAAATGGTAGGAAATAGACCTATATTTAAAATTTATAGAAGTATTTACCACTGTATTAAAAGTAATAGACCTTAAATTTTCATTTTCTAATTTATCCTTTTCTTGCTATTTTTCCCCTTTCTGTTTTTTCTTTCTTTCTTTCTTGATCTTCTATTCTATGTTCTCTCTCTCTTTACTCTCTCTCTAATTCTCTCATGCATATTAAGGATTTACCATTAAAATTTACACGGTTCTTAAAAAAGTGATGCTAACTTAGTAAATCATGATTTACTAAGTATATCCAAGATTTCCCATTAAATTTTGTAATGCTAATTTAGTAAATCCTGGATATACTTAAATTTACCGTGTATATCAATGATTTACCATTACAATTTGTAATGCTGTGTATATCTAGGATTTACCATTAGAGTTTGTATATGATAACTTTTACCATTAGAGTTTGTACATGCTAACTTAATAAATCCTAAATATACCTAAATTTACCAAGTATATCAAGTATTTACAATTAAAATTTATACTATTCATTTTCAAATGATTCTAATTTAATAAATCCTAAATATACTATGTATATTCAGGATTTACAATTAGAATTTGTACAATTCTTAAAAAAGTGATGCTAACGTAGTAAATCTTAAATTTACCATGTATATCTAGAATTTGTCATTAGAGTTTGTACATGCAAATTTAATAAATTGTGAATATACCTGAACTTACCGTGTATATCTAAAATTTATCATTAGAATCTATATGGTTCTTAAAAAAGGGAAGCTAATTTAGACTGTTTTTTTTCAAGTGATGCTAACTTGATAAATCTTAGATCTACTGAGTATATCTAAGATTTACTAATAAAATTTGTATGATTCTTAAAAAAAGTGATACAAACTTAGACTGTTCTTTTTCAAGTGATGCTAACTTGATAAATCTTAAATTTACCATGTATAACGACAGTGAGTGCTAGGAAAGAGAATGACAGAGGCTACAACGACAGTGAGAGAGAAATATCCAGGATTTACCATGTATAACTTACGGTGGGGGATAGGGAAGAGAGTGGCAGAGGCTGACAACGACGGTGAGAGGGAACAGAGAGTGGCAGAGGCGGAAAACGACAGTGAGAGGATGCAGACAATGACAGTGAGAGAAAGAAGATAGAGACGCTTAGAGCGTAACAAAACAAAAAACAAAAAGTAAGCAGCATACAATGATTAGTTGAAACACGAATAAGCGAGAAGCAAAGAACTAGTCTAACTAACCGGAAAAAAAAAAAAGAGAGAGAGAGAGAGAGAAATACACTAGAAGATTCTTTGAATGCTGTTAACAACGCCAAGAAACAGTTAAACTGAAAGTCCAGAAGATCTACAGGTGTAAGGGATCATATATATATATATATCGAAAGGATTTACTTCTAGATTTCTTCCATGACATGTCAAAGCGAAAAAGGGTTGTGGATCTTGCCACATGTATTCCATTTAAGACCAGAAATTCCAGCTTGTCGTGAACCGATAATAAAATTTGCAGCATTGAAACCCCAGTAATAACTCAGCCAGATCTGACGAGGACCCTGTTACAAACAAAAGGTATAATAAATTAGCTACAATAGTTAATCTGTTATTTTACTGCACATAAACTTTTGGATAGCCAATGTTTGTCAATTCTATTCGGAATCTGGAAGAACACATGATTCCATATATGATAACTGCAACGTAGTAAATTATTACAAACATCTATTTATCTCACATTAAAATCTGCATTTCTAGAAACAAATTGGTCTACCAAGTAAGCATAACTTCACTAACCAAAAATAATCAATTGCATTGGTCTACCAAGTAAGCATAACTTCACTAACCAAAAATAATCAATTGCATTCTTAAAGACCTCAAAATTTAAGCTGTTAGGAAGCTTTTTGAAATACCCATATAATATCAGTAAGCAGCATGCACGATATGTATAATACACGTCTGAAGCAGGACAAAGCTCCAGGAGTGTAGATCAGAGCAATTGACTACCAGAAGTGGCCACACAACAGAAACTCGGACCGTCAGACATAGATAGAGAAATATCCAAATAACTTCACAGGGAATAACAAGTTCAACCGAAGAGTACTATGGATTGCTGCCTGTTTATGCGTACACATCACTTAAACAAAAACTCCTCCAAAAATCAAAATGTAAATATCAGGATTTCCCCTAGCGAGGTACCAGAGTACATCAAATTCCAAGGAACATTAATGCCATATGAATCCAATCAAGTGCTAAGAGAACGCTTCAACTTAACTTTCTGCTTATTACCAAGCTCCAATGTGATATTTTCCTACCCTCAATGCCCACAACCATTAGAAAAATTATTTGGCTGCAAACATGATGTTCTGCTTATCAGCTTATGGTAAAGATTTTACCACAACATACTTATCCCATGCATTTTGTCACACACAACATACTTATCTCTATTTGAGTGTTTACATGCAACAGTAGCACCGTAGAGAGTAAATAAAAATATTAAGGAATCCAGATCACAACTATTTGTTTCTCCATTCTGCATATTTTGGAGATAACTATGGGGCTGTTCGGTAGAAGCAAAAAACTCGAGTAAGGCCCACTCGAATTCAGTTTTCAGCCCAATTCGCGTTCAGCTGTGGTTGTAACTCGAGCATTAATTCGAGTCAACCACCCAAACTCAAGTTCACCCTCCCCCTTCAATTCGAGTGAAGCTACAGTGTTCTCGCGTGCAGCAACAATCCTGATTCCTGCCTTCCTTTCACGTTGGTTGTCGAGTTCAGTTTTCAGCCCAATTCACTTTTGTAATTATGTATTTTCTAAAATTACCATATTACCCAATAATTATTTACAAGTAATTCCAATTATTCATATTCAATTACAAAAAATAGAATAAATTCGAAAAATAAAAAAATTGTAAAAGAATTGAATTACATTGAAAAAAGAAAAAAAAATGATATCTACTATTCACAACTCAAGTTTTACCACAAACAACACAAACTCAAAAAGATTCTTATCTCAAACCATAACTCAAGTATACACAACCAAACGCAAACTCAAGTTACAACTTCAACTCAAGTTATAACTCAAACTCAACTTAAAAACTTAACTCAAGAATGCTTGTAAAAGAACAACCCCTATGTAATCTAAAACATGTGTCATTAAAAAAAAAAGTGTTATCTCCTCAAACGATAAGTGTCCAATGCGCAAGAGCACAATATTTTTACCTATCAACATATAGAAAAAAAAAAAGAGCATGGCATTTTCATTTTAGAAGGTAAATCTATTTTAATAGAGAAACAGAGGCTCGATATCATAGAAATCATTGAATCAATTTAAGATGCGTTTGGTTGCAGGGAGGAATGAGAATGGTAATGGTAATGGAATAGAAAAAAAAAGTTGATTCATTTGTTTAATTCTAATTTAAGG